AGGAACTATTCCTGGTGTAATAAGCAATAATGTTGATGCGTTAGTTGCAGCAGTTTTACAACATAGATCTCTTGAATCAGAGAATGTTGATGTTAAGATTGGGGTAGATGGAGCGCAAAACTATCTAAAGATTACCTTATTAATTACATTAATGTTAAAGCCAGAACAACATATATATATATATATATATATATATATATATATATATATATATATATATATATATATATATATATATATATATATATATATATATATATATATATAGCCAATCATGTTATTTACAACTATTTGATCAACTCGCAGGGGTCTTAGGGTGAGTCAGAGAGGCATTAACCTCTAGTTAAAGCAAGTTTTATAAATGAAGTTAAAGTTAACGTCTCTCGTAACTCCTAATCCTGTCAACTTTAAGTTTATAGTCAACTTTGATTCAGATTTTATAGAAAGATTGCTTTGATTGTTTATAGCGCAAATTATTTTTAGAGTTATTCTTGGAATTGTTTTTAGACTTGGAATTTATTCATGAATAATGATTGAAGCACGCATGTTGAAAGTTTTTCATGCTTAACGTTTTTTAAATTTGCAGTGGTAACTGCAAATTTACATAACGCGTGTATGCTTAAACTCTCAATTAACTAAAGTCGCTGTTATTGTTAAAATGTGCTTATAAATATTGTTAAAGTCTTTTCAAGTAACACCAACTATAAGCCAATCGGAAACTAATACACATTATTTTAGCCAATTGCGGTGCTGCAAATATATATATATATATATATATATATATATATATATATATATATATATATATATATATATATATATATATATATATAAATATATATATATATATATATATATATATATATATATATATATATATTTCGTCATTATTAATATAAATTTGTACAACATTTTACCGTGAAATATATGACTGGAGCAAGTAGAAGACAATAGTCTTATCATCATGCCCCATTTTTGTCGTTGACAAAGTATATAAAACATAAACCATTTATATAGATTAGGAAAAGCAGAGGTCCTAGAATAGACCCCTGGGGAACACCACATGTGATGATTTCAAGGGAAGTGTATGTTTTATTGAAAAATAAGGCTTGTTTACGGTTTTTTAAATAGCAACTGAACCATTTTAAATTTTTTATTTTGTATTCCATAATTATGAAGTTTGTATAGAAGGATTTCGTGATCCACTGTATCAAATAAATACAGAAAGTAAACAACTATAATGGCTGACTAAAAAATATTATTTAATACAAAAACATCGTTATTTAAAAACTTCTTACTAAGTTTCCTCAAAAAGCTACCAAAAAATTATTTAACTTTTGATTTTTTTTTTTTTTTAAGTAAATTAAGGTGCCCCAAGAAGTCCTTACGGTCTTATCACAGAGCACCACGGAAGAGCATTCAATAGGAAGTTCACGCCTCCTTCCCAACCGATGTCGCAAAACTTGCCCAGAGGTGGGGTTTGAACCACGAACCTTACGCTTCTGATAGTTTCGGAATGTGCACATGGACTACTTTTGAAATCTAAAAAAAAAGTTTCATGGGATATGATATAAGGTCTTAGGTCACCTTTAGGGTTCACAGTGACAAGACCGTGCGGTCTTGTCACTGTGAACTATTTTTGAAGCTAGTGATATAGTAAATAAATCAATGGTTTACATTAAATAAATAAATCAATGGTTTACATTAAAAATATTGATAAATTTATACTTGTTATAATCACTGAAAGAAATATTGACTCTCTTTCTACAATTATAAGGGTTGCTGTGGATTCTGGTCAAGATTTTTTAAAAGTCACAATGAATGTTTTTAATCCGCATGATAAAGCTAGCAACCAACCTGACCTTCAGGATGCTGGAGTGAGGCGTTGTTTTATTGTTGGTATTATAGAAGGAATATCTGAACACAAATGGATCTTAATCTTAGGAAATTAATTGATCCTCTTAATCTTCAAAATATTAAATATTCTGTTGCATTTGATTTAAAGTGTGCAAACTCAATGTTTGGCATTACAAGCCAATCTGGAAAATATAGTTGTTTGTGGTGTGGTGTGAGTCTTTTGGATTGCGGAATAAAACTCTTGGTTCTCTTGATTATCAATACAGTAAATACGTAAAAGCTTGAAAAGCAAAATTAAAGATGGCTGATTATAAAAATGTTATTATTCCAAGAGTTTTACATCTTGAAGAAGATCCGGAAACAATTATATAAAATTTAGTTCCAGTACCTGAGTTGCATATATTATTTGGAACAGTTACAACTTTTGGAAAGCTTTTATCAAAACTATGGCCTGGCTTTGAACGATGGTTATACTCAAATTATATATTTTTTGAAGTTTTTGCAATGTTTTGCAAAGCATCCTTATTTGACATAAGTATAAACATGTAAATATATGGAATTTGCTCCATGTCTGGAAGTTAGCTATCTCAAAGACCAAAATATGCTGGCGGCACCCCCTTAAGATGCGTTATATCTATTACATATGTAGATTACAGTTGTTGATGATACATAAATAATTTTTATAAATTGATGTTTAAATAAAGTGTAAAAAGGAAGATCGCTAAAAAATATCAGAAGTATATTGTTAAATCTTCGATTGTAAAAATGAGTTCTTTAAGCTTTCGTTTAAAAGAAAAGTATATGCTTCTAAAACGGAACTTCTGTTCTCCGGAAAACGCAAGATTTGTTTAATTTTTAATTTTATTTTCATATTTTCTTACTTATATTTTCTTATTTTCAATTTCTTATTTTAATTTATATTTTTGCATAAAAAAGTTTGTATTTCTACATTTCTATATTTCCAACAGCAATTCGCCTTTTTACTTATGTTCGCTAGATGCTGAAAAAGCTTTTGACATTGCAACTGGAATCTTTTCATTGATAAACTTTACTTTTATAAAAACCTACCTCTCCAAATAGTTAACACTGTATCTTTTATATATCACAACAGTAGTGTAACTGTCTCTTACCTTCGCTCCAATTCAGTTTTATTTGCTCTTAATCAAGGTATAAGGCATGGATCAATTTTGTTGCCCCACTTGTATAACATATACACCTCAAAATTACTTGAAACTATAAAAAATGATAACTTTATTGGTACTTCTATACATGGGAACTTCACAGGTGTTGTTGCTTATGCTGGCGACATCATTCTGCTTAGCTCTACTTTATCTGGTCTTGAAAGGCTTATAACAACGCGTAATGAAAGCTCTCTGCAAAACGACAAGTAGCTAATTGCAAGGTAACCCTGACAACAATCAAATAATACCAAATAAAAAACTTAATCATCTGGGCTTTATGTGGGATACAGAAAAATCCAAGTTTGTCTCACTAAATGGATCAAATATTAAAAATAGAGTATCAAATTTCTAAACAACAGTGCAAACTCTGATTCGATCTGGTATCCAAATTGCACATTCATCTTCAATTATCCAATTATATAAATCTTTAGCAGTTCCAATGCTATCACATGGTCTGGAACTCTGTGAAAATAGAGAGTTAACAATACAAAGACTTAATAAAATTGGAAGAAATACTGTTAAAATTTTTTTTAATGTATCCAAGTATAGCAAAAACTATGGAAACTCTCTATTTAAAGTTCGGGAGATATTGACGTACATACAACAAAATAAAATAAACCTATTTATCTGTCTATTAAATTATAAAGTAACTTTTAAAATCATCAACTCCCAGCTTAACAATTGTTCAGTGAAATATTAATTTTTAACTGAAATAAAGGAATCATGTAAGATCCATAAACTAAATATAAAAAACTTAATTCAGGTTAAGAAGAAAACCAAAATTAAAATTTCAGAAAATATAATTCCTGAAGATAATTATCAAATTCTAAATTTTAATACCTTTCTTGTCAGGAAGTTTTCACCGCTTTATCTTTTATACAAGTACTAACATGATTATGGCTCAAACAAGCTATCATCTCTCAAGCAAGCTATCACCTCTCAAACAAGCTAACATGCTCAAGCAAGTTATCAACTCGTATTCTAATAACCAAAACTTAATCTTGTGTGACCTTGTCATTCAGAAATGATGCCATATATTAACAAAAAGATATAGATATGATTTTATGTTATGTCTTATGTTATAAGATGATATGTCTCAAGGAATATGATTTTATGTTATGTCTTATGTCTATATGTTATGTCTATATGTTATGTCTAAGGATATGATTTTATGTTATGTCTTATGTTATAAGATGATATGTCTCAAGGAATTAAAATTACGTATAAATCTCTAGACTACATAATTTAAAATCCTCTAATTTTTATATTTATAAGCATCGAATTATAATTACGAACAAAATAAAAGCGTTTTAAAGTTTATATAAGTTATACTCCAACAACACTCAGTATATTCATGCACTCATTCATATTTCACTGGTTCATACTAAGTGTAAGAAACACTATAATTAGTAAAAACAGTTTCCAAAACTCAAAACCTAAATAATTTAACTCAACTTACAGAAAGGCATCAAGTAAAATGCAATTGTGCGCCACCCAATTTGAGAACGCATTTCAAAAACTAAATGCGTTTTTTGATCAGTGTACATTAGGCGTATACTATGGTTCTACAAATTCTAAGAAGAAAAACTAGTGTGGTACTGTGCGAAAAACAGAATATGGTAACAAATAATTAAAAATAAATTTAAAAACCTGCCTATGAAAATAGTGTAGAAATAATAAATAATTTAGCTCATTGTTTTTACGTTTAAAATAGGGGAACACTTTTTTTAGAGCATTGTTGTTTTCAGACTCAAATCACCGCGATTTTTTTAATGTTTAGTTATAAGTATGAACACACGAGAATTTGAATTTTGCATGTCTGAGAGCTACATATCTCAAACACCAAATAATGCTATTAAGACCTGTATTGTATGCAATTGGGAACAATACGGACCTGTAATGTATTATTTCAAACAAGGAAAAATCAATAAAATAACTGAATTTAAAAATAACGTCGTTCAATTTACAAAAAAAGAAAATCTATATTTATTAGATTAAAAAGATCTTATTTTATAAAAAATGAGCTGGTGATTTATAAAATACGTAAGAAAAATACAACATTAAACTTTAAAGTTATTAAAGAGTGTTAAGTTGACACACACACACACGCAGACACACACACACACGCGCACGCACACACATACATACATACAAAGAGTATTAAAAGAGCATTTGACAAATGCGTATTCAAAAAACCTTTTTCAGAAAGAAATCAGATTATTTGCTAGAAAACAAGTTTCTTTAAAAAGAATATAAACTTTTTTTTTTAAAAAAAAAGGTCTAAGGAGAAGAGGGAAAAAGAGTTGAAGATAAAATCTCATATAACAATAAGAATCATGTGCACAAATAATATCATTTAGATATTATCTGTGCGGCAGTAAACCAATGTGTTATAAACTGAACCAATTAAATATTGATTTTTGTAAAAAACTATCATGCTTGCACTTTGAATAAGCTGACCATTATCATGAAAAACTTCAGTTACATCTGCTTTTTTCCACTGATTAGAGTCAGGCACAATTTTTATCCCAGTTCCAGTGTTGAGAGTTAAGTTTCTTATCGCTAAGAAGAAATGAAGTGGTTTTTTGAAGACTGCAACATATAAAATACCAGTTTGATGATCAATATAAACATTGTCAGGACTATATGAAACATCAATTGCATTATGAAGTAAAAGTTTTCCTGAATCAGCTTCACGTTTAAAGACAGATAAAGTTTTATTTGCAGCTGAAGATACAAAAACAACAGAGAAATCTTTATTAATGGCTATGCCGTTTAATGAAGAGTACCCATCTGCTGCAACTAAAGTGCTTCCTTCATTATAATAAACTATATTAGATGTGGGCATTTTTAAACCAACTTCAAAAAGCAATGAAGCAAACTCGTTATATTGGCAGTACTTCAGATAATTAGTAACATAAAATATGTTTTCATTTATAACAGCAATATCATTAAGACAAACAAACTTTTTATCAGTTAAGGTTTTTACATGATCCAAATGAGAAGGTTCACTACGTCTAAAAACAAATACTTCAACACTTTCTCTATGATTAGCATGGTTGATCACCAGCAGTTTAATTAAATTATTTTTTAAATCTTCAAACAAGTCCATCCCGTGGGGACTAAAATTACTGGGTATTATACTGTTACTCTTCAAAAAAAGTTCTGTTGCTCCTTTTTCTGGATCTTTAAAATCAAATAAATAAATACGACCATGCAGATAACGATGATCACAATTTGAGGCACCTTTCATTCCACTAGTAAAAAAAGCAAGCCCATCGGAAGTCACTGTAATTTTTTCAGACCCGCAGACAATACCAGGAATAGATTTACACATTCCAGGATAGACATTATAAAACTGAACTCCCACTGCATTACTTGTTAACCATAAGTAAATTTTGGGTATAAGGATAGCAGACAACACAGTTACAACTATGATTTTAAAATTTATCATTTTTAAAACTTCAAATGACTTTCATGCAGGTTAGAGTAAGTTTGGTGTTTAAAAATAAATAAATCTAAAGTTTAAGCTAAAAAAAACCTGAATCAAATAATGATTAAAAATATAAACAATCAAATAAAAATAAAAAATAAATTTTATATAAAACATTTTTTTGCATAAAAAATTTAATATTACTTTAATATTATTAGTAATTTTTTAACTTGACTCAGAAAAAAAAAAGTTCCAGGACATTTCAGGACATTTTTGAAAAAAATTTAATTTTTCAGGACATTTCAGGACATTCCAGGACACTTGCAAAAATCCAGGACATTCCAGGACTGTGGCCACCATGTATATATATATATATATATATATATATATATATATATATATATATATATATATATATATATATATATATATATATATATATATATATATATATATATATACACACATACACATATACATATATATATGCATATAACTTAGCCTATTAGATGTTGGACAGACAGTTCTTATTTAAATTGGAAGTTACAAGGTAAATACTTAAGGTTAATATTCAGGAAATGATTATAAGAATATAAAATCTGCAAATTATGTAAACCAGAAAAACATAAAAAAGAGAGGATTTAAAAGTATGGGCACTAAAAGTAGAATTTATTATTAGGTAGAAGCATATGTAGAAAACTGGTGCAAACTTGCAGTGTTGAGACAGATCTCTTAAAGGAAACTTACAATGTTGAGACAGAGCTCTTCAAGACAAATTTGATCATTATTTTGTTTGTTTTTTGTATTTTTGCAAATTTTCTAAAAATAAAAAAGGTGTCATAAGAAATCACTCCATATATAACAGCAGTATTCTATAAAAAATATTTATTGGGTAAAAGGAGTCAGAAGTACAAAAATGATATAAAGATTAAATAAAGAAAGCCTTTGTGCTGAATTTCAATATATACATATATACTGTTCCACAGATGAGCATTTTATAAACATATGCAATGTGATTGGAATAGTTTAAATTTAACGGGTTGAGTGCCTGTAAAAGTGGCTAATCAGAATATTCATTCGAGTATATAGCTTTTGTACTCTTTTTATATCTATATTATATGACTAATATTTTTTTACAAAATGGCCCATATATTTAAAGCTGTCAACAAATTCCAGTTTGCAGCCTGTTACACTCCAATATGGAAATGAAAGTAAGAAAAATTTTTATTTTTGTTTGGGTTAAAAAGTGTCAAAAAATAACAATAAATATATGCTTTGTCATTAAATAAAGCTAAGAAGGAGCTATGAGAATTATCTCATCAGCATAAACAAAATATTTAGAAAGATCCCATCTATATTGCAACCAATACGCATAATTTAAATTTTAAATACTAATTAATATGCATAATTTAAATAAGCTAAGAATGTAAAATCAAAACTAAACCACAAACTAAGATTTATAAAGCAAGCTGAAATATTATTCGGTTTAAAAGTAACTAAAAAGTCATTGATTTTATTACAACTGGGTGCCATATATCAGTTAAAAATATTATCTCCAGAAGAATATAAATATTATTAATTAGTTTATTTGGGTCTCAAAAGAACCAGAATTTTATCTATACTTCTAAATTCTTATATACCAATATTTGAAAGTATATATATATAGATAGGTATGTCATAAAAAATGATCTTATTAATTCTTGTTAAAAAAAATGTTTCTTTTTTGTATATTTAATTAATCTGTTTTTTTTATTTAAAACCATTATTCTTTCTAAAATCTCTATAAAACTTTAATTTTTTGGAGACCCAAGTTGATATACTTTCGGAAAAATTTTTAATTGACATATGGAATACAGATGTAATCGTGAGTCAAGGTAGTCTTTTTCAAAAAGTAAATAAAACTTATTACTTTTTAGTTACTTACAAATCTAAGTTCATCAATTGTTTATTGAAATTTTACTACATGTACTACATGTAGATAACAATGTTATCTACATAACATGTTATTAACATAACATGTTATTAACATAACATGTTATTAACATGTTTAGATAATTCTACATGATGTAGAATTATCTAAACACTTAGAAAAATATTTGTTTTTATTTAATATAATAATATTATAATTAAATTAATATAACTCATCATTAAAACGTATGAAGATTTAATTGCGTTTTTATAAAATGGAGCTAGGACCATTTTTTCAAAATTGAGTTTTTTTAACAATCGCATTCTTGACAATCGCATTGAAAAAATGCAAATCTAAATATATTAGTATATTAGTATATCTAAATATAATAAAAATTGTTTATCGTCTTTATTTACGATTACAAAGTTATTGATATTCAAACGATACATTATTAAAAAAAACTATTGATATTTAAATAAGACTTTCCAAGATAACTTTTTTTTCTTAAAACAATAAAAATGTGACTTTTTCAGAAAAAAGATCTTCACTTCCCTAACGACATTTAGTCATTTTCTAATGATAGTTCAGAGTTCAGACAAATAAATACGCAACTTTTAAAAAAAGATTTAGATAATTTCCTGCAATTAATTATTGATATAACTGTATAATAAAATCTTATAAAACCTAACATAACGTGACCAGGGTGTGTTATTTTTACAAGGAGGAAAGAAACAATTCATGAACTTTTCTCAAAATTATTTATTTGTTTTAGGGGCGGTTTATTTAAATCAGGATGGCTAAAAAAATAACAAAAAAGTAAATATTTAAATTGGAGTTTTAATTTGAATTTGAATTACGCATTTTTATTTAACTTGTTTTTTTTATCCAATCAAATACATTCCCGATTGTTTTTTTAAAACAACAATTAGGAATATGTGTTTGATTGTTGTTTTTTTTTGTTTTGAATGTTTTTTTTTAAAAACAATCGGGAATGTATTTGATTGGATAAAAGAATTAGCGTGATTTATTTTATCTAATCAGGCCGGGCTGGCTCACATGTTTGTGTTTATGTGGAGAAATTTGTCTCACCTGAGTGAAATCCCACTAAAATTAGACGAAAACTCAGTTATCTGGGCTAGCCGGTTTCTCATGTAAACAAGAGTAATTTTTGTAAACATGCTGAGATCTCGTTTAAGTGGCTAACAGGGCTTTCCCGCCTCATATAAACAGCCGCAAAATAGTTATTCTGAATGCGCAAATTTTTAAAGCCGCCAAACAGATTCGTAAATAATAAATTGATACGTAGATCTAGATAGATAGGCCGGGTCTAGGTAGATAGGCCGGATCTAGGTAGATAGGCCGGGTGAATAAAAATGAGCAATTGCTTTTACTTAGTAGTTGGTCAGCTTTACGTGAATAAAAACTTCAGAAGTTTTCCTCAAATTTTTATTCAAGTAAAGTTAAGCAATTTACTCAGTAATTGTTCAGCTTTACGTAAATAAAAATATAGCTGAAATTTTTTAATTTTTTATTCACGTAAAGCTGACCAATTCATGTGTAAAAGCAATTGCTCGTTTTTATTCACCCGGCCTAATAAATTGATAAATCATTGTCAACATTGCGCGTCTGAAAATTTATTCTAAACTATATTATTTTCAAAAAAGGAATTTTACAACATTTTTTTATTATTGTTGTTTTCATCTTTTAATAAATATCTTATACACTATATACAGAGACGATTTTACGGGGAGGTGTTACACCTTCCTCCCCCTCCCCCCCCCCCACTCCCCACACACACACACACACAAAAAGAAGATGGTTTTCAAGTTATAGTCGGTTTTTTTCACGAATTTAGTCGACTAGTCGGGTATCAAACACAATTCAGTCTGTTAATTTCTCGTTTTGAGGACCTTTTTTTTTTTTATAATAAGTTGGTACATTTTGAGGATTCACCCCCCCCCCTCATTTTATTTGTAGAATCACCTCTGACTATATATAATACATACTATATATTACTACTAGGGGAATACGGGGCAACATGGCGAACGTTTTGAAAGCCCTGAGTTATTACAAAACTATCAGCCGTGAAGCAATAAAACTTTCTCAGTATGTTTATGTTATCAAAATCCTTCATTACCTGCATGAATTTTCAGTTTGTTAATATAACAATTTGAAATAAATAATAAAATAAAAAGTTCATAAATTTGTTATCTGATCACGTGACCGGGGCAAGATGACTTATTATGCAATTTTTACCTCCAATTTTATAAAATTTTAAAAACTAACAAAAAATCTAACCAAAGTAACACAAAATAAACACAAATCGCAAAAAACTACTTCTAAAGAAGTTAAACTTAAAGCACACCATCTATTATGAGAAACCGAAAGTGAGGAATTTTTTTTTAAGCGCAAAAAGTAAACTTATGCGTATAAAATTGCGTTGATAATATTTTAAAAAACCAATTGGTGTTTTAAAATACAAGATGCAAATACAGTTTTGTTTTTAACCAATTTTAAGATTTTTTGTTGAGTTGTTATATGAAAACCCATCTTACCCCATTCGCCATGTTGCCCCGCTTTCCCCTACTACTACTACTACTATTACTACTACTACTACTACTACTATTACTACTATTACTACTACTACTACTACTACTACTACTACTACTACTACTACTACTACTACTACTACTACTAGTACTACTACTATAATTGTTTTATTGTTATTGTTGTTATTATTATTATTGTTACTGTTGTTATTATTATTATTATTAGGAAAAGAGAAGGGTTTACGAAAGTTTGTGCGAATAAAATAATAATAATATTTTCATCTTATTTATTTTTTGACACAACCAACTACAGGCTCGTAAAATATAAAATTTATAATATAGATTTGATCAACGTTTATTAAAGTTGTATATTAAAAGAAAAAAATAATACTATAATACTAAAAATATAATACTCACACAACTCTGTTGTCACGACAGGCAATATTATAGGATTTATTATAATCTCAAGTTATACGATTTCTCAAAGAGGTTTATTTATTTCGGTAGGTGTTTAAAATATTTAAGCCCTCGGATATTCCATTTTGCCTTATTTTAAAATATTTCAGAAATAGATTGATCGGAGAGCTAAAATGTTTTAACTGGGAGTTTTTCGGGTAGTTAATCCGTTTCGTTACAATGCACAGTCAGGCAGATTAGATTAAAAACGTTACAAAAAAGTTAAATTGTATTAATTTTTGACTTAAAATGTTAAATACTACTTTTTGGTAAAAATCCAACATAAAAAAATTCCTCAATAAATATCAAAATATGTATTTTAACATAAAATAAGTGAAAATAAAAATTTTTTGATTATAAAATTTTATAAATGTAAGGGATCCTTAGCGTTAATTTAAACTAGTGTGTAATCAATTTTCAAATTTCTATTAGTGATTATGTCAGACTGCTTGTCCTTAATAAATAAAAATATATTTTCTTTTATTTTTTATTTCAAAAACAATTCCTTCTTCATGATTTAACATTAAAATATGTAATTTTAAATGCACAATTATAAACATATGTGCTAGCCAATTAAAAGTTCCACGTTGTTAGACGTTTAATTTTGTTTTAAACTAACTATTATCCTTCATTAAAAACGATCCTAGAAGATCTGCTCCACTTTCTTGCTCCTTAAAGAAATATTTTAAATTAAGTAATGCATAGTTTTGTTAATTACAACGTCCGTCCCTCTTTTTTTTTTTAAAAATAGTAGTTTTTGCATTATGCAGTAAAATAAACATAAATCTTGAATTAAAGTTTTTTACAGAAATATTTATAGAAAATGGTTATAAAAGAAAATAAAATACTTCAAAACATTGTCAAAAAAATTAAAAACAATAAGCAAAATAAAACAAAACTCAAAGTTTCAAATCGCATTTACCAACATCAAATACATAGTTTTGAGGGAAAATGGAAAAATTTAGCTGTAGCGGGGCATTCCAGATATTGCCATGGTGCCTTTAGCTGGAATAAAAACAATACTAATAAAGTAGAGGAAGACTATTTTAAGAGAAAAGTGAGCGAGTCTTTGGAAATTCAGCATCACCAGTGCTTTCCAAGTGAAGGTGGTTTGAATGAAGACGACGGCGATTACGTCACGTCGTTGTTTTGGAAACCTTTTTTTTCTTATTTAAGACGCAAGAACACATTACATTGAAGTTTTATTATTTGAGGCGCCTCGCAGGAAAAGGTACCAAGTCTTAGTTTCTAGATTCGGAGATACACGCATTTTAAGAAAAGTATGTTAAAAAATTTGAAACTAACTTTATTCTTTTTTCGACCAGTTTTATCATTATTTAGAAATAGTGTTTGAAATTAATAATCAAAATATACATTAAATTCATTAATATGTGAAAGTTACACAGTTTTCAAATATACCAAATTTTTAAAGTCATTTTTTACTGTTATTTCATTTTTTAACAAGTTCCTTGAAAAACTATGTAGAATTTTCAATAATGATGCTATTAAGCTAATTTTTGTTTTATTTTATGTCTTATTTCTAACTCTATGCAACTGTATCAGTAACTCCATTTCTAAGATTTGGTACCTATTCCTGTGAGGCGCCTCATTTATTTATTTATTCTTGTTTTTTTAACGGTTTTTTTTATATTACTTGAATAACGAGGGTATATATAACCCCTAGTAATATTGTATTTTATTATAAAGAATTATATAAGGATAAGTTAACATACTATAACAGATGTTTTAACTTAATTATATAAAAACTTATATAAGATGTTAACTTTTAAAAAGTAGTTTTCGGACTTATTTGTAAAAATACTTAATCAAATATTTACATTGCGTATTTTCTTGAAACGGTCGCTCTAAGTTAATATTTAACCTATATACCTATAATAATATTTAACCTAATAATATTTGATTATAAAGTATTTTAGTATTGTATTTAAAAATGAGAAGTTAAATTTATTTTAAAATACGTGAGTTTGAAACTAATAACATGAGACTTAATGAAATCCATATTGAATTTGTTAAAACTTTTTATATAATTCCTGATGATAAATTATGTGATATTTTTACATAATATATTACATGATATACATTATGTGATATTTTTACCTGATCATAAATTATGTGATATTATTACAGATAATTATTTACAGTTTTTTGCAGATATTTATTTTCAAATTTCAGATATTTTTTTGAAAGCAATTTGGTTTGTATAATGCTCACAATTCTGAGGAAGCTCTAGAAAGTCTCAACAAACCCTACCGAAATGCAAGATTGCACCCAACAAATTACACACAGCACAAATGCACACATCAAAAATATCACAACTTAACATTATAAGAGATCAGATCCACTATGTTTTATTAGATGGGGTTCTTATAGATCAACATTTTCTAATTATTATTTTACCTTTTTTTCTTTGCTTGTTAAAAAAGTTTTAGACGTCCTAGCATGCATGTTTGATATGCAGAATTACACATTCAGTTGTGCATTAAATTTAATGATTATGTATTTTGGTTCATAAAACCTAAATTTTTAAATACAAGTAGTGGTTAGATTTGTTTAGGTTCTTTAAAATATGTTTAAACGTTTACATACGTGTTGTACTGGTGTTTATTGCATAAAAAAAAAATTTCAGTTCCATATTTGAATTACTTGGCCCAAATAAATATTTTGATCTTAAATATATATTTAACTCATGCTTATTAAATAGTTTGGTATTTTATTTTTTATTTTAACTTTATGATAAAGTTTATCTGTTTTATTGTGTACCAGTGCTTAATGACTAAAATGCTTAATATCAGTAATAAAAATTGTGGCACTTTTAATTTATAATTTCTTCTTTTTATGTCAATGCAACCCTCTCTCATTTCCCTCTCAAAATTCCATATTTTGTAATGGTCTTATTGGTTAGTAATTTTGAATTGAAAACTTTTCTGTACTAAAAGAAACATTTATTTGACAAGTAAGTACATAAATAGTTTTTGTACTATATTTAATCTGGTTTTAGGTACCATTATCTCATAAAAAGTAAAATAGTCAAAACAGTTTTTATTCACAGTGATAAATATATATTTATCAGATTTGCCACTCAACCTGGAAAACCTGGAATACCTGGAAATAGCACGAAACCCAGGGAAAACCTGGAAAACTCAGGGGATTTTTAAAACTTTTATAAAATTCAGGGAAAACTCAGGGAAATTTTTTTTTTTTTGAAATTTTGTGCAATAATTTTTTTTCAAATATATTTTGCTAATACATATAATAATAAGTTTACAAGATGTGGGTGTTGTTGTAAAAGTTTTAGTTTGTCAAATATAAATATTGTGTTTAATTAAGGAAAATAATAATCTTGTTAATGATCAGGAAAGAATATAGAAAAGTCAGGTAAAACTCAGGGAATTTAAAGAGTTCAACTAAGGGAAAAAGGTTTTTTCTCAGGGAAAACTCAGGGAAAAACTTTAAAAAGTGGCAACCCTGTCTATTTAAATTATTTTTTTATATGTGAAATTGGCATTTGAATGCTTTAAAATATTTATTTTACATACTATGCAAAATGCATGCTGTAAAGCATTCAAATGTGAAAAGTTTTACATATAAAAAAATAATCAATATATATATAATATATATATATATATATATATATATATATATATATATATATATACATATATATATATATATATCGCTGTTAGCGAATATAAATTTGTGGTGACTATTTCATTTATAATCTTTTTTTTTACTTTTAAATTATTTGTAACTTATATTAGTTTCTAAAATTTATACTATGTAACATAGTATAAGTTTCAGATATTAATGTAAGTTATAATAACTTTTTATAAACTATATAATGAATATAACAGTGTTATTAAAAGTATTAATGTAATCTTTAGGTATCACAAACAACAAAACTGCTGGCAAATGCAATTTATTCACTCTTTAAATTATAGTTCACCAGATTTTTTTGGACTGCATAATGTCTCGGGTGTATCAAATTTTTATTGTGTGCAAAACGTTCCCACATCACAAGGTTTAATTGGTTTAAGTAAACCTGCAATTACTGAAAATTCAGAAAAAGTTCAAGTAATACCAATCATAGATTTTGCAACTGAAAATAAAGATAATAATAAATTTGAATCTTTTTCAATTCAAGGACATTCTTCTGAACCTGCAATCATTGTTAGTGACATTAAAACTGTGGAAAACTCTTCAATTAGCAGTCAAGTTAAAAGTCCATCTAAAGAACTTCAGAGTAGATCTGCAATAAATGATAAAACTGACTATGTATTTAACTGTATTTCTTCAAACACTGATAGTTCAAATGCTCCAAATGATAGTTTTGTTCAAGGAAGTAACACAGGTTTATTATGCAGATTTATTTTTATAATTTAATATATAAGTTAATAGTTGTTTAAAATTGGTTTAATTAGGATTTTAAATTGGATTAAATTAGAGTAATAAGTATAAATAACAACCAAATATGAAAAAAATATAAATACAAATAAACCTTGTTAACCAACAGATATTATGTATTACAGATTACCAACAAATATTATTTCTCTTTCTCTAATAAATATGAAGAATATTGTGATAATAATAATAATAATAATAATAATAATAATAATAATAATAATAATAATAATAATAATAATGATAATTATTGTTAATAATAATTTTATTGTTGTTTTGTTTGTCTTTTTTATGGGTGGTTAAACTATCTAGGTGGTAACTAGTTGGTGGCAGGGTGTTGAACTAAAGAGCAGTACACAGGTGGTATATAAAATAAAAATATCAATTTGATTTACGTGTTGATAAGTAGATGCGTTTTAAATAAATAATCATTGTGGTTGTTTAATCTTGGACTCAAAATAGTTTCTTAATGAAAAAATAAATGGTTCATTTAGATATCTGTTCAAAATTCTGATTAGAATTTTCAAGTATTTGCAAAGACTTAACCGATATTTATCATTTTATAATTTAAAACATGTAGAAATTTTATTTTTCTAAATAAAAATTAATTCTTTCATTAACCCTTTCGTTACCAAACAAAATGCAAAAAAAACAATTGTAAGTGAATTCTTATTATTGATCAAAAAGCTATAGAATAAAAAGTATTGGTCGGATTTTCACAAATGAGACCTTGTTTTGTTTGTCAGAAAAATGGCTGCCAAACTACTTTTTTAAAAGTCTTTTTAAAAAAGTAGTTTGGCATCTTTTTTTAGTCTTAGTGAAATAATTAAATGCCGTATTCAGCGTGGTCACATTTACTTTAAAATATCATACCCCACCCTGCATAGCGGGTGACTGGTATTGAAAGGGTTAACATAATTGCTGATAAAATGACAAAACATTGTTAAAACTTTTTTTCCACGTTAGTAAAAAGAGCTCCTGTTTTTGAAATAAATTTAAAGATGGGTCATTCCATGTCAAATCAATCATAAAAAAATTTTCAGCACCATACCATCTCAGTTTTTGATGATATTCAGAATACAAGCTTATATTAATGAAAGAAAACTTCACTCTACATTTTAATGTCTGACTCCTTACGATTTCAGAGATATTGATACTCAGTTGCTATCTTTTTTTTGATTTTTTTTTCAAAAAATCAAAAAAGAAGCTGATTGAAGCTAATTGCATAACACAATTAGCTTTAACTTATGAAGTACTTGCTTAATAGTGTTGAAAGTTTTAGGGAGAGGAACTCAAAAATGATACCTAAAACACTAAAAAATTCAAGCTTCTCTGTGAAAAGTCAATTTCAATGTAACACTTTTTAAAAGTTTTTTGATGCCCTATACAAAAAGAAGTATACGTTGAGATGCCAAAGGATACGATTCTAAACATTTTTTCTATGGTTCTATATATAACGAACTCCTTATTACAAAAAAACTGCAGGGGTTTTCTTTTTTGAATCTGATGTATTGAAAGTTTTTTTTTTTTAAATTAAGAAAAACTGTTATTTAGTAATAAAAAAAATATATATATATACATTTTTTTTTTTGCATTTTTTAAAAAAGATTTTAGAATCTCAGGTACAGTTCTAATATATAAACTTGTTTGCATTTCACATTAACGATCTTTATACAACCTTCATGTATAATGTAAGAAATTATATTTATGACATTACTTTAGGGAGAGGAACTCAAAATTGATGGCTAAAACACTAAAATATTGAAGCTTCTATATGAAAATTTAATTTCAAAATAATGAAATACTTTTTGTAAGTCTTTTGATAACCCATACAAAAAATGTTTATCTTGAGATACCTGAAAGATATGATTATTAAATTTTTTCCTAATGTTCTATATTTTCCTATATGTTTCCTATATGTTTCTATATTTTTCTGATGTCCTAATGTTCTATATTTAACAAATGCCATAAAACAAAAACAAAAATGCTAAGGTAAACTTTTTTAGATTAGATTTATTTGCATTTAAATTTTTATAATTTTAAACCCAAACTCATTTTATAATTTCTATAAAAAATCAGCTATATATGAGTGTTTTGCAATGTGAGAATGAACAGTAAGTTTTTGTAACTTATTTATTAGAGTGTTAATGAAGCTACTTGTGATTTCTGTTAGTCTTACTAGCTCAGATTGGTCTGTTTTACCATTGTTTGTAATCTTTACAATAATCGTCATCTTTATCAATATATATTTTTAAAAGTATAACTCATTTTCAAGGTATCTTAATATTGGACACAAAGGGCAATGATGCATTATGCAATTCTTGTTAGCCCTGCTACAAACAAGCATATCAATAAGTTTGTGATAATCTTTTGATAATTCAACTGCACTTATCATTAACTTAACATTTTGATGGTAGGTACACATGCAATATGTGTGTGATCACACACATACTGTATGCGTACCAGATGCTCACACTGTAATGCACCATTTTTGTTGATTTGAGCAAAAGTGAAAAAAAACAAGTCTTTATATCTGGATAACTCGTTTTAAACTTAGCATAGAGTAAATATACATATGTACAATTGAGATATTTCCTTTCCTTTTTTTTTCAGGGAAAGATAAAATACCGTTTTTCAGTAGCAGTTTGCTTGATATCTTATAATCAATCTTAGATCAAGGTATTGAAACCAGTAGTAATTGACTTTTCTGATTCAATTTGAAAGTTAGCATTTTTTCTTTAATTTCTTCTATAAGTATATCCATATCATTTGCTTTACATTTAACTTCCTTAGATCATTTATTGAAGGAATCTTCTTGGCTTAACTGATCAGGATCTTTATTTAAAGTCCTTGCAATGCCTAACTTTACTATTTTTTGAACATGTAATGATTTCTTTTTACAGAGAGCTACTCTTGAGTGACTATTCACAGCATGCGTTTATGTTCAAAGCTGTCAAAAAAGAATTGTGATTTAAGAAGTTTATTATCTTCATCTTCATAAATCTGGCTGCAAGTTCTCCTGGTCCATCATCGTTAAATGACATCAACTTATTTATACATTATGAACATATCTTTTCTCTAATAATAACATTAATACCAATGTTTTTCAATTTCCCAGCAAATTGTTATAAATTACTTTTCATCCTCCTAAAAATATTACTACTTCAGTGAGTAATTTGCAAAAAAAATCTAGTATATATAATTACAATTTAGAAAAAGCTTCATGGTTTAGTAATAATACATTTTTTTTCTTTTTTCATTGTATGAATTAGAGTAATGTTTTAAGTAAACATATTCATGGGAGCAAACCATTGCATTTTTTTTCACTTTCAATACCAGAACAACTAATTATCAAGTCTTTTACTACATCGTTGAGACTTAAAATATTCTTGATATTGTTAGATTTCACTTCATTTTTTATATTTTGTTTTTTACATCATTTTTGATAACATTGGATGTTTGTTTGTGACAATTTTCTTTAATATTATATATATCTGTGTGTGTGTGTGTGTGTGTACACTGGATTTTTACACCTATATATATATATATATATATATATATATATATATATATATATATATATATATATATATATATATATATATATATATATATATATATATATATATATATATATATATATATATATATATATATATGTATATATATATATATATATATATATATATATATATATATATATATATATATATATATATATATATATATATATATATATATATATATAAATTTTAATAAAAATCACAATATTTTTTATTCTTGACATGTTTCGTAGTCTTACTACATTTTCAAAAGATTTAATTTACAATTAAAACTCTGGTAAATAAATTTAAAAACTGAAGACAATACAGAGAAAAAATTAATGGACAAATAAACTTGTTACAAACCAATTAAAAATTATATTACAAATTATGACAAAATAAACTTCCTAATATTAAAATTTTAATAATAATAATAATAATAATAATAATAATAATAATATAGTAAGTTAGATAAATTTATAATATAATGAGATGTTTGTTTGTTTAAAGAAGGTAATTTCTACATTACAATTTCTCAACACCCAACTTAGAAACAAGGATTCGGAACCTCAAGTTAAAAGTGAACTTTCACATTTAGCAAATAATTATGTTTACAAATACACGTTGTTTGAAGGTTGTCTGAGAAAATACAAAATAATAAAAAGACTCAGGAAGAATGAAAACATTGTAATAACAAGACCAGACAAAGGGAATAGTATAATTGTTCTAAATAAAGTTGACTATATAAATTCTCCTTATAATATTATAAGTGATAAAACTAAATTTAAAGAATTGAAAGATGATCCAACTATAAAAAAAGAAGTATCTTTACAAGGGTATCTTGAAAAACTTAAAAAACTTAAATGTTTTGAAAAAGAAATTTACAATAAAATTTATCCTGTTGGTTCACGAACAGCAAGAATTTATGCTCTACCTAAGATGCACAAACTTAGTAAAGATTCTTCTCTACCATCTATTTGACCAATTATTTCAACAATTGGCACATTTAGTTATAAACTTGCTAAACATCTTTCAGATTTATTATCTCCATATTTACCAAAACATTATACCACTTTTGACTCATTTTCATTTGTTGAAGATTTAAAACAAGTTGACGTAACTAACAATAACAAATTTATAGTTTCTTATGATGTTGAAAGCTTATTTACTAACATTCCACTTAATGAAACTATAAATATAGCAACAGAATTGTTTTTTAAAGATGAAACTGGCTCAAAATATTTTTCTAAAACTCATTTCAAAAAATTACTTCAAATTTCAACGTCAGGTTCTCATTTCTTATTTAACAGAAAATTTTAGCTAATATGTTTATTGGTTTTTATGAACAAATGTGGGTTAATAATTGCTCATCCTCCATACCAATTTTTATAAACCTTATATGGATGACATAATAGCAATTTTTAATTCAGATTTTGAAGTGCAAGAATTCTTTAAACATCTCAATAAACAACACAAAAACTTAAGATTTACTATAGAAAAAGAAAAAGACAACCAAATTCCATTTTTGGATGTTCTTATTAATAAGTCTAATTCACTCTCTACATCAGTTTATCACAAAAAAACATACACGGGTCTTTTACAAAATTTCTTTAGTTTTGTCCCTTTATGTTACAAAACTGGTCTTATACGTTGCTTGATTGATCGAAAATATAAAATTAACAACACGTGGTTTGGATTTGATAAGGATATAAAAAATCTTGCTTTAGTTTTTAAAAAATAATCAATTTCCGCAAAAAGTTATCGACACTGAAATTAAATTATATGTTGAAAAGAAAATTAATACACCTGTTATAAATACTGTTGATAATACTAATATAAGATATTTTAAGCTTCCATTTATTGGATTCTACTCAAATTTCACTAAAACTAAAATTGATAAAATTATTAAAAAGTATTGTAAAAATGTAATAATCAAATTTATATTCACAACCCATAAATTAAAAAACAGTTTTTGCATAAAAGATCCACTTCCTAAGATGCTTAAATCTAACGTTGTCTACAAATTTTCTTGTGCTGGCTGTAAGGCCAGTTATATTGGAGAAACCTCCAGACATTTGATAACAAGGATAAATGAGCACCTTACGAGTGACAAGCAATCGGATATTTTTAAATATTCAGATTCATCCGTTATTTGTAAAACACTAACTAATTATGATTGCTTTCAGATTTTGGATATTGCCTCTACCATTAACAAATTAAAAATAAAAGAAGCACTTCATATTAAATGGGAAAATCCTTCTTTAAATAAACAAACATCTCATTATATTATAAATTTATCTATCTAACTCACTATATTATTATTATTATTATTATTATTATTATTATTATTATTAATATTTTAATATTAGGAAGTTTATTTTGTCATAATTTGTAATATAATTTTTAATTGGTTTGTAACAAGTTTATTTGTCCATTAATTTTTTCTCTGTATTGTCTTCAGTTTTTAAATTTATTTACCAGAGTTTTAATTGTAAATTAAATCTTTTGAAAATGTAGTAAGACTACGAAACATGTCAAGAATAAAAAATATTGTGATTTTTATTAAAATTTTTAGAATTTTATTGCTAATGCGATGTTCGAAAAAAATATATATATATATAAATATAGGTGTACACTAGATTTTTTTAGATGTTTGAGTTTTGACACTTACAGACATTGTGCAAACTCCAAACTTTTGTATCTTCATGCTTATGTCATATGAAAATGTTTTCCAAAGAGTTGCCATGATTGGAGCTTGGGGACAAAAAAACCCCTTATTTTTGGGCCCACTTAGCCCTTAACGTGGGAGCAACAAGTTTATAAAATAATGTTTTAGTATTTTATTCTAAGTTTATATTCATCCACAAATTTCAAATTTCATGCAATAATCTCTTGGTGTTCAGTTCTTATGACTTAAAACTTTATATGGTCATAATTTTCGAAAAATACGAGATTATTGTATGAAATTTGAAATTTGTTGATGAATATAAACTTATATAAAAATGATAAAGAAAATTTTTTATAAACTTGTTACTCCCACGCTAAGGTTTCTGTTATGAAGTCTCTTTCTGCTCTATGAATTAAATTTGCCATGGATACATGGTTGCTATGGTTATAAATTATTTAATTGCAATTGAACATATGTTTAGATAGTTACAAATATGTTAACTTGGTGTTATGTGATGCACTATGATTATTTCAATTTTATATTTTATATAAATTTTATTTTTATTTAAATTTGCATTATCATTTATTATTTTATCATTAACTTTTTTTGACTTTTTTATAACAGAGATTCAAACAAATTTTGTCGTAAAAGCAACAGACCAAAATACCAAAAAACGTCATTTACAAAATGACAGCTCAGAGTTGGGAAAAAAAGAAGAAGTGTTGCCGACAAAAAAAGTTGCTTTACGAGAAAACACAACTTCTACTGCTCCGTTATTATTGATGCAGAAACTACTTCGCGGGGAATCAGATTTAAAACTACCAATAGGTATTCTTAACAGTTTTATCAAGACAAATATGTTAAAATTTCACCTGGGTTCAATTTATCTAGGTGTATTTTTTATTAGAATTTACAAATTTGTCTCTATGTCAACTGGATGTATATTTTAACAATTATATTTTGTTACATATAGTATATCTCTAATAGTTATAGTTCCGTGGTTTAAATTCCTGATGGAATGTCTGTTTGACATTTTCCTGATAAAACTTGTTTAATTTTTCACTCATATTTCTTGTTTTTGAAACACTTTCTGATGTAATACTTCCTCTGTGTTGTGACTTCCACTTCATTATTTTTGCTTTAATTTAATTTAACTTAATTTTGTTAAGGTTAGTGATTATCGTAGTCAAAATAAAAAACTAACATTTATTTATTTTAGTTACAAAAAACACATAAAATAAATATATTATAAGAAAAGTTCAATAGAGTAGATTTTAGCTTTTCCCATAGTTTTTGTGTCCTTTTATAGTTTACACAAGTTTTTTTTTAAATTTGTGAAGAATGTGACACATTAAAATATTTATTTTTCCTACACTATGGTATCGTCTCACTGGTTTTAATGTCTTCAACCATTTTTGAAAAGTTTATTCACAACTCTCATTATAATATAAAGCTCAGGTATGATACTTTAATCTGGACATACAGTCTTCTGTTTGATGAGCGCTTTCATGCTCTTGCAGTTTTGAGCTTGCCCACACCCCGTCAATATTACGGCTGGCGATTTTTTAAGCACTCACCAAAACATTTCAAACGTGTTTTTAAATTGCACAAATTTTTTTTCTTCATCAAGTTCTAATTAAAGAGGTACAAAAAACAAATATTTTTTTAAATTCCACATGCCAAACAAATAATTACTGTCCGGCCAGCGCTTTTTTGCTCTGTCGGTAAATTTCAAATGGAGAAGACTGAACATATAGCAGTGAAGGGTTTCATCTAATATGACATATTTACCTAAAATACCTTTCTAATTATTATTTCAAATTCACTTTGTTCAAAAAGTTATTAACAGTTAATTAACTTTTGAACCAAAGTCTGTTATGATCTTAAACCTATGTTTATTTCACCAATCAAAAACATTTTTTTTTTTTTAATGATATCACTTTTTGATTAGCTAGATTTCTAGCGCTGTATTGTAATAATAATTCTTTTAGATCCCAAGTCTTGGAACGTTAATGATGTACGAAAATACTTTGAATGGTTAGTAAGTGTTTTGGGGACAGAAAGGCCACTTATTGACTACCCTCAGTTTGTATTTGATGGGAAACTTCTTTTTAAAATGCGAAAAAGAAACTTGCAACCATTGTTTCCTGAATCAGCTGTTGATCTCATATGGATGCACATTGAAGCATTAAAGTTTGGTTAGTTTTTTTGTTTTTGTTTTTCTAATATTTTTGCATAGTTTTATCATTAGTAAATTTTTGTTTTTTTACTATTATTATCCATTATCTTGATGTAATATTTAATAAAAACCTTAGAAAACAATCTCAATAAAATATCTTGATCTCAATGAAATAAATAACGATCTCAATGAAATAAATTTCAAAATATATTTGTATATAGATTAGATGATGTATAAAAAATTTTTTCTACAGGAATCTTAAAAGATAAATAGTACTGAATCATAAAAGATATATAGTAGATAAAATAAGAGAATTGTATGCATACTTTTGATTTATATATTTCGTTTATATTTTATCATAAATGTTTTTATTTTATTATTATTACTATTATTATTGTTGTTATTGTTATTATCATATATAAATATTTATGTTTTATTATTATTATATTAATAACAATTATTAAATTTTTTAAAAGATTTTAAATAATAAGTTTTTATTTATATATAGCAAGTGTAACAAGTATGAAAAGTTTTTCTTCGGCTGGGAGATCAAATGATCATTCTATAACAAGTTAGTATCTTTAATAACTTTTTAGTGATTTATAACTATACGCAGCATTCAATGTGGCATTAGTGGTGTTTGTTGTGTTTTAACTCTGAGTTTAAACTAATCATTTGATGTAGGATCAACATTAAAATGTAGTTTAAATGTAGTCTTTAGTGTAATTTATTGTTAATGTATGAATAATTTGCATTGTATTGTAAATGTTGATGTTATATCAGCTAAATAAATTTCTATGGAGGGACTACTCTATTTGTTTAAAATATTGTATCAAAATTAGTAAGAGGTGAAACTTTAAAAGTTTCTAAAGGTCAGATGAAGCTTAAGAAGTTTCTAGATAGAACACAACCTCACTAGCAGATCTGAGAAAAGCTATAATTAATGTGTGGTATCGTAAACCGATTGCCTCAATGCCACAAAGAATAAAGGCTGTTCTAAAAATTTAATGATCTTGTATAAAGAACTGAAACATGTTTTATGCTGTAAATCTATTCTTTCATGTTTATGTATATATATTTTTGAATTCAAATGTTTTCTTGTAATAAATGCATATGCTATAAAATACAAAAACGTTTTTTTATAATTAGTAAGCAGTTAGATTTTTTGAACTATAGGTTGCTCAAGTTATTTATGTTTCATGTTTTTTTTTTAACTTATATTATTTATATAATTTTGTTTTTGTTATTAATTGCTAGTTAAAACTTTCATAATTAAATTCTTATAACATAGAAAAGGCAACCAGAATCCTATAATTTTCATTCAGCATTATCTACTAGATCAATCGAGAGTTTTGGTTTGGGCACTGCCCAAACCGAAACCCTTAATTGATAGTTGATATTTTGATATATACCTCAATCGATAATTGATAGATTCATCTATTAGACTGGCGCAGATGCATTTGTAATACATTTTTTTCAGTTTAGGATGTCAAATGCTGGTTTGTCTTGACTCAATGCATGAGTCTCTGTTTTTTTAATCTCCTAATGAGGGTACAGTTCTATAACTCAGTTTTATGGTTTTGAGGCCAGCTGGTAGTCAGGTTTCTTGAACTCTGTGGTAGCTCTTAGATTCTGATTCCATCAAAAGCTGTAAAATATCAAAATACTAACAGTTACGCATGTTATGCATGTTACCATGTTACGCATGGATGGTGTCCCTATTTGTACTTTTGGTTTGCATTATCGAGGTGACATTTGGAGCGCTTTGTTATGGCTTAGGGTTTATTAATAGTAATGAGGCAATTGCTTGGACTATTAGATAGTGTACTGAGTACTATCTGCGCTTTGAGTCAAGCTCTTTAACCATTTTAAAAAATGATTAAAGTATCATAAACTATAAAGCATAAAAAAAAACATTGTATTCAACAAGTTCTCTAAATCTATCATTCACTAATATTCATTTTCTTCGAAGTAACTTTTGTTTTGTTGAGTCTTAACTCTTGCAAAGTTCACTAGACTTATTTGAGTTCAGCTGTCTCATCTTGTGACCTTAGTTTTAATTGTTATCTTCCTTTAATTCGTAAAGACTCCAATAGTCACATGCTTGGTCTGGTCATTTACATTTGTAAGAATTCATCCATTTTTTAGGAACCTAGGTTTGAATCCACAGACTATTCTTTTATGTGCTTTGGTTTAGCACCACTTCACTCTATCACTTTTCTCTTTGTTTTATATGGCTCTCCATCTCAAGACTGCACTCTTTTCAATGTTACTTCTGATCAAGTTGACCAAGTCTTTTCTCTTTATTCTTTAACCAATGTTGTTGGTGATTTTAATGCTCATCACACTGAATGATTTGGCTTTAAACTCTGTAAGTGTTAAGGCCCACAACTTTTATCTTTCTCAATCTCTAACACAAATAGTCAACTTTCCAACTCGCTTTCCAAATAATCCAAATCATTTACCTTCTCTACTCGACTTTTGTCTTGCTTCTGATCCTAGTCATTGCTCAGTTTCTACACATTCACCCTTAGGTGCTTCTGATCACAATTTGATGTCTCTAAAATTATTATCTCATTCTTTTTCATCATCAGAATCCTCTTATCATTATACATCTTACAACTACCTTAAAGCTAAATGGGGTTCTTTCTGTGATTTTCTCGTTCTACCCGATATAGTTGACAAACAGGTTAATCGATTGCCCGACCTTTGTATCACTCCAGCTTCTGTATCTAAAGTGATTTCCTGGTTAGACTTTTCTACAGCTTGTGTTTCAGACAACATACCTGTTAAAGTCTTGCAGAAGTGTTCTCTGGAGCTGTCATTTATATTTGCAAAACTATTTAATAAGTGCTTACTAGAGTTTTGTTTTTCTGCCTGCTAAAAAGCAACATCTGTTATTCCTATTTTCATAAGCCTTCTCCTTAAGCTCTCTTCTTACGGTCTCTTTATATAAGTTATCAGCTCACTTCTTACGGACTCTTATTGAGTCACATCTTCAAGATTACTGAATCCTTCTTTACTAATCATTAGGAATTGACTGGGACCCCGACCCCGGCTAATAATGAGACTCTTTGCAATCCCAGCCCCTGTCCAGACAAAATTATAAGATTTAGCAGGGGTTGATTAGAAAAAAATTTATAATAATTTATGTTATAATTTTATACTTATATTTACTATTTATTAAATACTGAAATATATTTATATATTTTAAACTCTAATTTACTGATAGCAAGGTTGCAAGTAACCACTATTAAGTTAAAAAATACTTTAAAAGTTACTTTTTGTGACCTAAGTGCTCCAAAAATTCTTATTCGTCTAGTTTTTTTCTTCAAACATCAGTTCTTTGGAATTTGCTTCTTTTATAAAGATTGCCTGCCCAATGGCCGGGCAATCTAACAATTAAAAAAAAATGTTTACATTTTATGGAGAAAAAAAAAAAAAATATATATATATATATATATATATATATGTGTGTGTGTATATATATATATATATATATATATATATATATATATATATATATATATATATATATATATATATATATATATATATATATATATATATATATATATATATATATATATATATATATATATATATATATATATATATACTATAGCATATTTATGTAACAAATTGTTACCATATTTTTGTTACATTAAATGTAAATTTTCAGAAAAAAGAAAAAAAAAAACGAAGAATAATGAAAAAAAAAGATTGCTGCCCCATGCCAAACCCTCAATCGATGTAGTAGGACTCCGCTGCGAATTTTGAACCATATAATTTATCAGTCAATGTATGTACTGAAATCCCCAGCAGCAGGCTGTTTTAGTATGGCATCAGACTGCTCACCTAAACCAGCAGTATAATATATAATATATATATATATATATATATATATATATATATATATATATATATATATATATATATATATATATATATATATATATATATATATATATATATAGTATCCAAAAAAAGTAATTGCGCTAAAAAAAAAAATCATAATTTTAAATTTTGTGTCAAAAAAATGAGTAGTCCGTTAAAATATTTAAAAGTTTTTTTTAGAAATCTTATCAAGTATTGTTTTATGAATTTATTTGTGTATTGGTGAACTAATTGCTCAAACCTATTGAATTTTACTCAATCTAATAATGCATAAAATTGACTGCAAAAAAAAAATTGTACAGTTCAAAAATAATGTCAAGTGGGGCCTCCTTTATCCTTGATGGCCTTAACTATTCAATTTGGCATTGATTTTACCAAATTTCCGGTCTCTTTTGTTGTTATATTATCTCATGCACTCATTATAGCTTCTTTAAAATTGTCTTTGCGTCTAAATGCTCAGTCGCTAATTTTTCTATCCAAAGTATACCACTAACTTTCTATTGGATTTAAGTTCAGACTTTGAGATGGCCATTCCAAAATATTGATGTTGCTTATGTTAAAGTATACCTTTGTATTCTTAGCGGTATGTTTAGGATTGTCATTCTGCTGGAGTATGAAATTGCTTCCCATTCTCAATTTTTAAGTATATGGTTGAAAGTTGGCTTTGAGAATTTCACAATACATTGAAGCATCCATTTTGTCATTAATAAATGTAAATTTCCCCACTCCTTTCCAACTCATACTACTCCAAGCTATCACATTTCCTTCTCTATGCATTACACTACCTTGCAAACAACTCAATCTATAAGCTTCTCCTTTTTTTCGCCATGCTTTTTGGACTCCATCCGATGAGAGGATATATATATATATATATATATATATATATATATATATATATATATATATATATATATATATATATATATATATATATATAAATATATATATATATATATATATATATATATATATATATATATATATATATATATATATATATATATATATATATATATATATATATATATATATATATATTTGGGATGGGGCAGCAATCATTTCATTCATCATTCTTCGTTTTTTTTCTTCTTTTTTTAAAAAAGCTGTATGGGTTAAGGTAAGCAAAAAAAGTGAGCAAATGATAAAAACACGCTTTAGTAAGTGTATATATATATATATATATATATATATATATATATATATATATATATATATATATATATATATATATATATATATATATATATATATATATATATATATATATATATATATATGTATATATATATAGGGGCATTTCCACGAGAAAGAGGGAGAAAAAATACCCAAATATATTTAGATTAACTTATCCAAAAAATATATTTAGATATAACTTATTCAGATATCATAATGAAATAAGAATGTGATGACTTGAATTTAAAAATGGTAGAGTTATTTAATTAGGGCAAAAAAGCTGCACCTTTTTAACCACCTTTTTAATTCTGAAATGCTTAATCACAGTTTATATGTCTTTTAGGTTTTTACCTATTCACTTTCTTGATTTTCATATCTTTCATCCTAAAATTTTTTTATGATGAAAGAAAAGACATAAAAAGTTAATATGGCTGGCACTACATTTTGACTTATATTTATTTTCTACCTGTTTATTCAACAGCAATATGCTTTGTAATTTGTGTGTTAAACAAACTAAGGAAATTTTGTGCTTATTTTATTTATATCACAAAACATTATAAACATAAGAAACAATTTTATGAAACTTAGTTCAAAGTTATGCTTTATAAAGTATAAAACAATTTTATGAAGCTTAAATTTGGAAGTACCTACTTGCAAGGATGTTGTGAAGTTTGATCACCAGACCTTTAGCTTAAACTATTGCATCATTTTTTTATGCATAAGGTAAAAATTAAGTAATCTTAAATTAATAATCTTAAATGTAATCGCAGGGTAAAGCATAAATAGCGATGTTTATCTGACGGGATAAACTAGGTATTGGTGCTGAGCCTCTTCGAAACGCCGGTAATAATAAATGCGACTCTGAGGAAAAGTTTATTACCACCACTACATAAATTATGATTACACAAAAGCAATAATATTTTTTCTTTATCTAATACCTCCTATCTTTTTACCTCCTATGAATTTATATTATTCATTTTAAGTACTGATGTATCTATACATATGTATTTTTATTTTAAGTATGTTAAACATTTGTATTTACTGTAGATTTATAATTACTTATGTGTCCTGTTTTGTTTTTATTACATTTCTTTTACATGCACGGTGTCTAAATTATTATTAATATTTTTTACTACACGCTTTACTATAGTATCTTTATTTTCATTCTGAACATCTGTTCAATATATATTTTTATTATCTTATCCTTTCTCTTTTCCTGAATTTTTCTTTATTTCACTTGGGCTCGGTCTTAAATTAATTCGGTTTTAAATTAAGTAATCTTAAGTTAAGTTAATAATTGTGGCAGTGAATGTTGTGGCAGTGAATTATTTTGCCACTGTCTTGAATGATTAGTGCATTTATTTGGTATATAAAACATTAACCTAGAAAACAACAGCTAGAAAACTGACCTTAACTGCCTGTGTACTTAAACAAAATATACTCCTTATGTATGTAAGCAAAAACATACCCCTTTCTTAAGTTGTAAAACAAAATCATACTAATTCGTTTTTTTTTATTAAAAATGTTGAGTATATTAAGGCAAATTTTAAAGAAACAAAACAATTTAAAAAAATTTGAATAAGAAATTTAAAAAAAAAATAGCTTTAAATAAGGAAAAGCAATTTTATTTAAATATGTAGATAAAGCTAAAATAACTTAAATGATGTGATAATATAAATTAGCTATTTTATTTAATTTATAAATTAAAGAAATTTTTAAATTTATATATGTGTATATATTATAGGTATGTGACAAAATTGTCATCATGTTTGAACAAAGAAACATTTTTATTTGTTTCAAAGAAGAAAAAAAAATAAAAATGAAATTTTAGTTTTATTAATTAGATTTAATATTTGACCTAAATGACTGAAAATGTTGCTTTTTATAAAAGTTAGAAGATATTGAATTTTCTTTTTAATTTTTATGTGAAAAGCTAATAGTGACAATTTTGTCACAAATGAAAACAAATAACATATTGTAGTAAATTAATATCAAGTGAATCCTCCCTTAGATTAGATTTAATTACAGCCTGAATTCTTTCAGGAACACTAGCAACCAATTTTTGGTATTCCTCTGGTGTAATTGAGTTCCAAACCTTTTTTTACACGAGTTTAAAGTTCATTTTTATTCTTAGGTGGAGTGAGAAAGTTGTAGACTCATTGTTTAACTATTGCCCATAAATTTTGTGTGGGTTAATATTAGGGCTTTCTGCTGACCAGTTAACAACTTTCAATTTTTTCTTGTGAATAAATTTAATGGTCTTATCAGTCTTATGCATCGGGCTGTTTTCTTGCATGAACATCATGTTGCATACAGTTCTGCCCCATTTTCGAAGTGATTTAAAATATCTGGCCTTAAGGATGTTGGTATAATCATCAGCGTTTATTATTCCATTAAGCTCACTAATTCACTAACTCCACAAGCTCAGAAACATGCCCAAAACAAGAGTGTTGCTCCGCCATATGAAGCTCTTAATAGTGAATTAGGCTTTCTCCAAGTATATGTATACCATCTGATCCAAACATGTTAATTTTACTTTCATCTGTCCAGTCATAAAAGTCAACAATTGCTTGCATGAAGTTAAGCATAATTTACATGAGCTTGGTAGTAATGAAAAACCAACAATGGGTTCTTGATTTTTTGTATAGATTGAAAAGCAATTCTTTTAAAATTGACTCTCGATTGACTGTCCGAACTGAAGCATGAGTTTCATAGCTGTTATTCATTTAATTTATAATATCCTTTGCAGTTTTAGACTCTCCAAAAGCAATTAGACAAGCGATTGTTCTTTTGTGCATGTTTTGAACAACGCACGACCACACATGCAACGATTTCAAATAATTTGCAGTGATTTTTAATAAAATTGTTTTAGTTTAATTAAAATCTTGTATTTTTTTGTAAATAAATTATTTGTTTTACTTATTATTCTAAAAAAAAATACAGTTCCTTTAATGTTTTTTTTTATTGATAATACATTATTTATTAAAAACCAATCCATTTGTCCAGCTTAGCGGATTCAGCCTTAAATTAGAAAGTAAATTAAGGCTACAAAATTAAAAATACAAAGAACTTTGTTCAGAGTGTTATAAACGTTTCTTAATTAAAACTATCATTTTCTCGAATACATTTTACGATTTCTTATTTACAATTTTTATGTTCTCCATTACATTTAGAAAAGTTGTACTCGTAGTAATTGAAACAATAAAAAAGTATTTTTTTTTTACTGTTATTATAAGGGGTGGGTTTTATTTTTTTTATTATATATTTGGATTGTTGAGTCTCTCTAGATTTCCTCTTGAAATTTTTTTTTCTGAAATTCATCAACTTGATTTTGTTTTATGATAAAATTGATTTGTACACTTAATTTCTTATTGATATATTAAAGATTTTTTTGAATTTAGCATCATCAGGAGGAAGCGGTGGCGGTGGACAAATCCAGCTGTGGCAGTTCCTTCTAGAACTACTAACTGAGTTAAACATTAGTCACATTATTTGTTGGGAGGGAGATGATGGATCCTTTAAGTTAGTTGACCCAGAACGTGTTGCACAACTTTGGGGAGAAAGAAAAAAAAAACCAAACATGAATTATGAAAAATTAAGTCGAGCGCTACGTTACTATTATGACGGAGATTTGATTCATAAGGTAAATGGAAAGAGATTTGTCTATAAATTTGTGTGTGACTTAAAGATGCTAATAGGCTATACTCCGAGTGAATTGAGTCGGCTAGTCGCTGGTGGTACAAATAATTTTTAAAGCTTTTATATTTAAAAGTTGAATGGTTAAAGTATAAAATTACTAAATCAATATTGAACGAGCAAAATAAACGAGCAAATTTTTAAACTTTTGATACCCCACGGCAACAAAGTATTTTATTACTATATAGTAGTTTGTTTTTTAATAATGATGATATTAAAGAATAAATTATTTGATAAGTTTTTTGAATTGTAAATGAGAAATTTTTTATGTACATATATTTTTTTCTATTTTTTATTTAAATGAATCTTTTTTGTTACAAAAATAAATCGTAAAAATGTATATTTTGAGAATATAAACTTTTAGATTTTCGAATTTTTATTCATTTTATAGAACTTTCATCTAAGTAAAATTTTCGATTTTGTATTTCAAAATCTGTTTAACAAAGTGGTTATTTGAAACTAACAATCAACTATATCATTTAAAAAGTTATAATATATTAATATTATAACAATTAATTAAAATTTAAAATTATTATGAAAAGGCTTCTGTGCAAAAGTTCCATACTTCCGTGCAAAAGTTCTGGGTTTCCGTGCAAAAGTTTAGAAAAAAACTGAACTTTGATAAAAATTTATTTCAAAAATCATTTAAATTATTCAGTAATTTTTCAATTAAACAGTTGGTTTGACAAGGTTCTAAATGACATTTTTGCCAAAGTTCTATATAATAATATCTAATTGAAAAAGTATCGCGAGAGACTGCAGTTAGGGTTAACCCTAATCGGTTAGTTGGAAAAAACAACTGGTTAGGGTTAGCAACCTAAGTTACTTGGTCTGACTGCTGCGTATCTCAAAATTGGAACAGTATAAAATCAAATGCTGTGTTACATTTTTTTAAGCAACAATCTGTTTATTTTACAGGTAAAGAACCACTGCTTCATAATCTCGGTCCTGGACATGCATAAAAGATAATGCAGCCTTAATATTATTCTTTTTAGGTTCGCAAATTCCTTTGTGCATTTTTAAACCTTTGGTTTAACAATTTAGAGTTAGATGGTCTAGTGTCAGCATTTTTTCTGTTATATTTTTTCATTAAACTTGAGATTAGCACTTACCATACGTTCATTTCAATCATGGCTAAATTTAGTTAATTTTAGCACAACAACGTAATGTATTTTTAGTTAATTTTAGCACAACAACGTAAAAAAATCAACTAAATTGTAGTTAAACAGTTTTGCTGTTAAAGAACAGTCCTTAAAGTCTTGTGGGTTTGTTTGAATAATATAATAATAATGATAAGGATTTTTTGGGCTAACTTTTTTTTTGCTTAACCTGTTTTAGGATTGGAGGATAAAATCAGCTTTCCTTGTGAGCTTTTCAATTTCATTATGCACATGATTTACTTCCTGGACGCATGAATAATCAGGAAGTAAAAATATCTTAGTGATTGAGTTAACACTAGGATTGTTACTTAAAAAATGTAACACAGAATTTGATTTACTGCTCAAATTTTGTTTGTCACGGTGCAATTAAATCATAATCTCAATGTTGTCAAAAACGTCAGTTCGAATCTGTTCAAACCAATGCGATAAGTTCGCCAGTTCGAATCTAGTCAGACCAATGCGATAAGTTCGTCAGTTCGAAACAATGTCAAACCAATGCGATAAGTTCGTCAGTTCGAAACAATGTCAACCCAATGCGATAAATATAAGGAATTCTTTTCAAACAATGACGACACTGTTTTTGCATCAATGCGATTGAGCCAGGTCAAGTCAATACAAATAATCGTATACTTATTTGTATTGACTTGACCTGGATTCATTACATTCATGCTAAAAGAGTGACATTATTATTTAAAAAGAATTCTTTAAATAATTTATTTGATAACCCGCTAATCATACCAGAATGTCGTCCGATTGTGATTCATTGGAGTTTCCTAAAGGGAATAGTCTATGTAAGGAACTATCAGGCAAGAATTTGAAACAACTTTGTATTCGGATATATTCCTGCGTCAAGAAATTTGTCAAGAACTTCGTAAAAGACCTAGCCAAGTCAACTCGTCTTGGTAGCTTGGTTTAACAACACTTGAAGAACCCTATAAAAGAGCAGACCTTATCGAGCAATTTAAAATTACGCATCATATCGAACTGTTTTTTCATTTCGCGAAAATTTTCAAACAGTAAAGCCAGGTATATTTCAGGAGGGCATAACCATAAACTAGAACTCCAGCTAGTATAAAATTGTGAAGAACGACTTTTTTTCAAATATAGTTGTTTTCCCACGGAATACACATTGCTTTGAATGCTTTCAAAGACAGCATAACAAAGTAACTTAAGACACAATTAATAAGAGAGGCCTGGTGTAGCACCTCTTCATCAAACAATAAATAACTTTATTGATTTGATTATTATTGATTACTGAAAAAAGAAAAAAAAAAGAAAGCATAAGTAATTATATAAAAGTTTACAACAGATTTTTTTAAAATTTAAAAATATACATGTTGAGTAATTGCTCGTTGATTAAAAAAAAAAAGAAGATTTTTAAAGAATTCAAAGGTGAATTAATAAATTTTCAATAGAAAGAGTTTTTTAATATTTGGTTTAAAAGAATCAAAATTATATTCTTAAGCAAAATGATTATTAGTATATATATATATATATATATATATATATATTATATATATATATATATATATATATATATATATATATATATATATATATATATATATATATATATATATATATATATATATATATATATATATATATAGTATAGTGGTATATATAGTGTAGTATATATACATATATATGGAAACATATGTTAAAAAGAAAAAAAGTTCCTCAATTTCGTATGATACAGCAAAATAGATAAAAACTATAAATTTGTTCAATTATTTATCACACTTAACGTGATTAATCATCTTTTTAACGCGATTGGCTAGCTTACATTCATTTAAAAAATAGTATCCAAAACAGTTTTGTGGATATACTTTTCTATGGTATGTTTAATTAAATCATTGCAGACTGGAAAATGATAATTCCGCTGTTGCTATTATAAAAGTTTTTTTTAAACTGTTTAGGAAATGGGGGTTGGGAGAGGGAGTTAAATGCAGTTTCCCCGCCCCTAATTTTTTAGTTTGAAGGGGGTTATCGCCCCTCCGCCAGTGACTCCCTGTTCCTACGCCAGTGAGTCTATATACAAAGAAATTTAAATTTGTCTCAAATTAATTTCCAAAATTTGTTTAAGAAAATGGTTGTCAAATTAAATTATCGTTCCTTAAAATATATTTATTTCTATCTCTTTACAAGTACAGGTTATGAATAGAAACGGAAGATATGTGAATTTTATATTTATACATTAATATTAAGCTTGTTAATATCGAGAGTTTTCATTTCATTTAGTACGTAGCACATCTTTATTAGGCGTGCTACGTACTTCTGTTACCGATAGAAAGATTTATGTTTAGTTTTCATAGTACTACCCCAAGTAACATTTGTATAATAAATATAGCGATAAATTAACGTGTAATATAATTGAATTAAGCTACGTTAGTTAAAAAAAATAAAACACTTGTTTTGTATAAACTATCTAATCTTAATCCGAGGTTTTACTGCACAAGTTAGGAATGTGGTTTTTCCATGTAGGATTTTTTATCAATACAGACACCTAAAAATTTTGTCACTACAACTTTTTTTAATAACACAGGTCAACATTTTTTTTTTTCTGGTACCGAGCAAGCAATATTAACTATTAATATTAATATAAAATATTAACAGTAATAAACTAATATTAAATATTAATATTAAAATTAATATTAAATTAATATTAAATATTAACAATAATAAACTATTCCTAAATGATAAACTAATTAAAAAACAATCCAATATAAAATTCTTAGGAATCATTGTTGATGAAAATTTATCCTGGGTTCCTCATATAATATACATCCAGTCAAAAATCACCAAAATCATAGGTTTGATGTATCGAGTTCGCTCTTACGTCAAAAAAGCATTTAATTTTCATGTATGGTTACAATTACAATATCTCTCCTATAAGCTTTAATAAAATGTTTGAATTAAATAAAAATGAAAAATATAATCTTAGAGAAAATATGTTAAACACATATAAACTGCCTCGGATAATAAATAAATATTCAGAATATAGCATTTCATATCGAGGCCCTAAAGTATGGAATACCTTTTAAAAAGGATTCAAAGGTACGGTAAATTCGTTTAAGTTTTAATAAAATTTATAAAATAATAAAATTCATTTAAGTTTATAATAAAAAAAGAAATTTTTAAAACTTGAGAAACTTTTTTGATTCATGTTACCACTCTACTTTTTGTTGTTGTTGTTGTTGTTTAACAATCTTATTAGCGAATTACGCATTTTATTACGATATTTATTACGATATTTTATTGAAATTTTGTTAAAGGGGCTCTATGAAAAGATTGCGATAACGTACTGTCATCCTCATCTTCTTTGAGCCCCTATCTGTTTTTACTTACTTTTTTTTTATGAAGCACGAAGTTGTAAGATTCTTATGTTATAAAACAGGAAAAAAAATGTTTTTCGTAGAGCATTTCTCATTTTGAATACAAATATGCAGCTCATTTTTCACCATCACGTCAAGTCGTAAAGATATTTGGGTTCAAATATTTAGCATTTGGAATAAAAACCCTAATATTATCAAAAAAAAGTTATTCAAAAGTAAACTGGGTCTCAAAAGAAGCGTGTTTTCATAAAGACTTTAAAAAATAGGAGAGGGGGGGGGGGGGCATTGGATCTATTAACAATGGTACTGGTGTCAACCTGCCTAATCTCCAGGTTCTTGTTCCTGCATCTATGCTAAATAAATTTTAGATTTTTGTATTGTAATTGTTTATTCTTTCCCATTTTTTTACTGAAATTACTTACAAATAAATTTTTCGACAATATCAAGACTTACCACAATTACGTATTGGGTTCTACTTAGAATTGAATAAAAGTTTGAATAACAAAGAAACTTAGCGAAATTTTTAAAATAGTACAAAGTTAAAAAAAAGTGCAAAGTTATCTGAATAAAAGTCATGCGTGCTATTTTACTGAAATGTAATTGAAATAGTGTGCAAAAATTGAAAAAAACAAACAAACGGTTTTTTAAGTTTCTCAACGTAAAAAAAAAAAAGTACGGATATTATTTATATTTAGTAGTTCAAGGTAATGTGGCTTCTTATATTGCCAGCGTAAAGTTGACCTTTGAAGTTAACTTTTAACGTTAGTATTAAAGTATTTAAAAAATTCAAAACGCTGCTACTTAAGTTTTTGTAAAGTAAATGTTTATTTGTATTAGTTTATAGAAATATAACTATTTTTGTTAGCTAGATTAAATGTTAGTCGAATACGTAAAATCTATAATTAATTTTTAAAAATATTATTTTTTAAAGGTTTTTAAAACTTTTTTAAAATAACAATTCGAAATCAATAAATTTTAGCATGATAATTGTGAATTTCTTCTATTTTTTCGACTATTATTGATATTATTAAGATGAGATTAAATGCAAATTTGATGTTTATTGGAAAGGTTGTTGTTTTGGTTCCATACAAAAAACATCATGTTATGAAATATCATAATTGGATGAAATCTTCAGAATTACTTGAAAAAACAGCATCAGAACCTTTAACACTGAAAGAAGAGTTTGAGATGCAAGAAAAATGGTTGAATGATGACGATAAATGTACATTTATTCTTATAAATAAAGCAGCATTATTAAATTTTCAGTCAGTTGATAATCTTGTTTTGCCTATAAGCAGAGAAATAGAGTTATCTTCTTTGGCTGGTGATGTTAATTTGTTTGTTAATTTAGAATCAAATGTACACGAAGCTGAACTAGAGGTGATGGTTGCAGAGGCTCAATACCGTGGAAAAGGACTAGGAAAAGAGGCCATTAAAATAATGATTTTTTTTGCAACAAATAATTTAAATATAAAAAAGTTTATAGTAAAAATTGGTGCTGGTAATTTGGAAAGTATAATGTTATTTAAAGGTTTAGGTTTTGAGGAGGAAAGTTATAGTTCAGTTTTTGACGAAACAACATATTGTTTATATTCATCAAGCGAAAAAGTAATGTTTATGCTTGAGGAAATTAGGTCTTACATTTTAGAAAAATCATACAACAATTGCTTTCTTTTTAATGACTAATTATGAAGTGAAATTATTCTACTATTTTATTATTTTCACAGATTTTTTAATTTTGTTTTTACAATCAAGAGATTAACTGATAAAATCTATAGTATTAAATATTGTATTTTCTGTTTTTATTTTAAATTTGGTGTTGTTTCTCTTGTTTGTTTAAAGATAATGTTCATTAAAAATATTGTTTTTTTCTCATTTTTTAAAGTTTACTAAATTAGGCTTATCTTTAAAGGCAATAATATTGATAATAATTTTAACTAAATCCAATACTTTGTTTATATTCAATTATATTAATACGTAGAAATATTTAAAATATTTAGTACTTTAAATATTTTTATGCTTTTAAATTTGAAATGACAAATAAAGTTGTAAATAACTCAATTCTTATTTTATGAAGTTTAAAACTTTGTTTAATTTTTAGACAGTTTATTTTTTAGTTATTAATTATTTCAAGATACAAATATGACTATTGATTCAAACAGTAGAGAAAAAGTTCTTCAAGATTATCGCAAAAAGTTGACTGAACACAGAGAAGTAGAAGCCAGATTGAAACATGGTAAGGGACAATTTTTAAAATTTTAGAAAAATAATTTTGGGCATCTAAAATTACAGTTTTTCAAAGCTGTGATTATAAGATCAGGTTTTATGTAAATTAAAAATGACAATTTGTAATTTAAATTTGATAATAAATTAAGTGGTAATAATTGTAATCAAAGTTTATGTAAAAAATATTTAACCTAATTATAGTATGTTTTTAATAGTAGCTAATGTTGGTAATATTTAGTTCGAGAACAGTTAAAAGAGCTTGCATCAGATTATGACAAATCCGAAAACAACTTAAAAGCTTTGCAAAGTGTAGGTCAAATTGTTGGTGAAATTCTTAAACAATTAACAGATGAAAAATATATTGTTAAAGCAACAAATGGTCCCAGATATGTAGTTGGAATACGCAGGGGCATTGATAAAACAAAGTTACGTCAAGGATCAAGAGTGGCTCTTGACATGACTACTTTAACAATAATGAGGTATTACTTAAGTTTAACATTTTCTTAATATAAACAAAAGTTACATAAATTGAAACAAAGAATTTTGTTTCATATTGTTAAAAACTATACAGCAATATGAAAAATAATGGTTAGCTTTTTATTACTATAATTTATTTTTTTTTTGAATAAAAAAGTTTTATCTTTATTTTTTTGTTTTTGTAGTATTTTTATTTTGTTTTGTAATATTTAGAATGTTGCCTCGTGAAGTTGATCCTCTTGTATACAATATGTCTCATGAAGATCCAGGAAATATATCATATGGTATGATAGGAGGCTTGTCAGAACAAATAAGAGAACTTAGAGAGGTTTGAAAATATGATAAAATTAATGTAATTTAAGTTAAAATGTTTTCCATTTTTGATATTATTTTTCTCAAGGTTATTGAGTTGCCTCTAATTAACCCTGAGCTGTTTCAAAGAGTTGGAATTACTCCACCTAAAGGATGTCTTCTTTATGGACCTCCAGGTAATTAAAAAAGAAAATTTTATCTTGTATATTGTTTATGTGGGTGTGTCAGGGTGTGATCATCTTTTCATTATTGTAAAAATATGAAAAACACCTGATGTCATGATCTTATGAAATTCTTTGGATGATAGAACTATCATTGGTAGCTTTATTATTCCTATTAGTGAGATTATATATTTTGAAATCCTTTTACACTGTTTGCTAGAGAAAATCTGATTTGTAATAAACTTTCAAAACAAATATAGATAATGCAAAGTCATATCAAAAACCATGAGAAAAGCAGGAAGTTAGCTACTTGTTTACTACCACATTAGCAGATATTTGTTATCTAGCTTCATGAATGAAAATTATGAAAAAATTCTAAAGCAAAAAATTACTTTACTGTCTAACATTTGTGATCTTAGGAGGCTTAAAACAAAAAGCTTAAAATTCCTAATTCCAGATCTTTTAGGTAATATTTTAATTAGACATTTAAAGTTTTAGTTTCATTTATTTAAGCCTATAAGCATATACCCATCTCTGAATTGAAAAAATAAGAAAGTTTATAATTACTTCAACATAAGTAGAAAATTTAACAATCATGATAAAAAAATTAAGAACAATAAAATAAAATTTTCAATATTACCATTTATATTGCGTCAATTTTAAAAGAGATTAAATTTTTTATTAAGAGTTTAAATTTTTTTGTTTTTGTTATTTATGAACAACCTTTTGAATACATAACCAAGTGCTTTTCAAATATTCAAGTTTTAATGTTTTTTATAAAAATCTCTCTGAATTGTTTTCAAGGTTCTTCTTTAATAGCCTAGAGTCTTTTTAATGAAGAACCACAACTGTCAACTAAAGATATTTTTTATGTGCATATAAGGAGGTGTGAACTCCCTAGTTAAATGGTCTTCAGTGGTGTTCTGTGGCAAGATTGTTAAGCCTTCTTGTTGGCACCAAAGTTACAAGAGACCAAGCAAACACCGGTATTATGATAACAGAATGCAATGTGTAAAAAATTTGACAGCAAAAAAATTAATAACATTTAAATCATTTTGCTAGAATGTATAGTTCATAAAAAGATATAAAAAGTATAGGAATTAAAAAATTATCCGTAACTAATTTTTTGCAAAGCATCCTAATTTGATATAAGTATAAACATAAAAATATATATATATATATATATATATATATATATATATATATATATATATATATATATATATATATATATATATATATATATATATATATATATATATATATATATATATATATATTAGAGTGCCTCTAAACACAACTTTTTTTGAATATGTCTGCTGCCACCCCCTAAATGTGTTCTATGTAATAAATTAAAACTAAATTTAAAAAAATTTTGAATAAAAAAAAATTTTAGGGACCCCTAAACATCAAATAGGTCCCTAGTATTTTGAAACAAAAAGTTCTTCAAAAGTATAACATATATACTTTTCATTTAGTGGAATGATCCATTTATATTTACTATAAAAACTATAACAACTATAAAAACTGATTTTACTATAAGTATTAATAAGCTTTTTTATAGAAAAAAATAGGAAATAACTTTCCATTAGTTTACATTTGTAATAAAAAATGTTTACATCATAATGATATTTTGTTATAATAGAAAGAACACAGAATTTTCTTCATCTATATATATATATATATATATATATATATATATATATATATATATATATATATATATATATATATATATATATATATATATATATATATATATATATATATATATATATATATATATATATATATATATATAATGCGACATACTGGTGTTACTCATAAATTTTATCTTACTTATCAGTCTTATATTTTTATAAAGCAGCATATTGTTGTGAATCATATATTATTCATATAACTCATAATTTATCAGTTATTCAAGTTAACAGAATATTGCAGGCTTTTAAACCAATATGGAAGAGTAAATTTACATAGCCTACCTTGTAGCCATGGCTTGTTCATCTTTGATTGTGTTTGTTTTATTTTATTTTGATTTTTACATTTTTAATTTTATATTCTTTTTTTCTTGTTTAGTATCTTTAGTTAAGTTAAAGTTATTTTATTTTTAGATTTATTTACTTTTAAACTTTTAGTTAGTAAATGAAATATTGTATTAATTTATAAAAGTATAAAAAATTTTATTAATATTTACTAAAAGTAAGACATTAATTTGAGTAAATATTAATTTTTAGTAAATTGATATTCTTTCATTTTTTACATTATTTTTTAGGAACTGGTAAAACATTGTTAGCAAAGGCAGTTGCAAGTCAGCTTGATTGTAATTTCTTAAAGGTTATTTTTTAGTATTATTATAATTATTTATTATTAAGTATTTGTGTGTGTGTGTGTGTGTATATATATATATATATATATATATATATATATATATATATATATATATATATATATATATATATATATATATATATATATATATATATATATATATATATACAAATATATATATATATAATATACAAATATATATATATATACATATATATATATATACACATATATATGCATATATATATATATATACATATATATATATATATATATATATATATATATATATATATATATATATATATATATATATATATATATACATATGCATATATACATGTGTATATATATATATATATATATATATATGTATATATATATATATATATATATATATATATATATATATATATATAATATATATATATATATATATATATATATATACACACACACACTTTTTTTTTTAATATTTAAGCAACATCAACAATTAAGCGACTTTTTAATATTGTTTAAACATTAAAACAAATAAAAAAATGCGGAAGTACATTAAGTTTTATCTTTTTATGAAAAATCGCAATAATTATTAGTAGAAAGTTTTCTGATAATATTAATACGCTAATTTAATAGTAGTTAATAGTCAACTTATGTCACTTTCTAGGCTTTTATATTTTAAAGTAGTTTCTAGGCTTTTCTATACGCGGTTTTTTTATTTAATTTTATTTACTAACAACCCGTATTACAGGTTGCTTACTGCTAGTTATAATAAATGGTGTTTTTGTTTATGTTTGAACATTTTAAAAACTTGCGAGGAGTATTGCTACATTAACTGACAAATAGGTAAAACATGAGAGTAGTGCTGCTACATTGATTAACAAATAGGTTGAACATGTGAGGAGTGCTGTTACGTCAACTGAGGGTTGGGTTTAGGCTAAAAATTCAACTTTTTCTGGTCTTGTTTATTAGTGTTCGATTTAAAACAGCAGTTTATGGAAGAAACTTTCCAACTATCATGCAGGAGTATATATGTGTGTATATGTATGTACATATATATATATATATATATATATATATATATATATATATATATATATATATATATATATATATATATATATATATATATATATATATATATATATGTATATATATATATATATATATATATACACACACACACAAATATACATCAACCTTCGGAATTAGGCTCGATCTAATTGCTGACCTAAAAGTATTTAAGGTCGGCAAAAAATTGCTGACCTCATTTCTATGTTTTATGGTAACCCTTTTGTGTAAAATTTTTTTGCCGACCTCTAACAGTTTGAGGTCGGCAATTTATTACTGACCTCGTTTTTTCTAATTCCGAGGGTTGTAAACATTCAAATTTATTGTAAATTGTTTTTCAATTTGTAGTTAAGTTGTAAAGTAAATGTAATTTGAATGTTTTATAATATGACCTTCTTTTATTATCAGAATAGAAACCTCTTTCTTTAACATTGCTTATGTATTTCTTTAATAAATTAAGGTCAGTTTCCATTTGTTTTGCTATGGAAATGAGAAAGGGAAAGTATTACATGAGCATGCATAGTTTGTTATTTAATTTTCCTGCGCTTAGTCTTTCCCATCATATCTGTTTTATAAAAATTTGTTAAAATTTTAAATCAATTTTTTTTCTGTAAAAAGGCAAAACAATCACCATGCTAAAATATTTAATTTTTATACTTTTATTATAAACATTTATTTATTAGTGATTATGTTATTTGACTTTATTCATGTCTGTAAATATACAAAAAATATTTGTGTCACTTAACCTATGGTGCTTAGGGGAAAAACTCCATTCATCCACCCCTATTGATGCTCCTGAAAAGTGATACACTGCAAAAATACATAAAATAATATAGTGTGAGTTGTTAATACTGCCATTTTATTATTTAGCTGTCATTATTTAAAAGTGAATATTTGACAAGTGGAAATTAATATATCTTATTTGACCCTGTCAGAATTTCTTTCATTGTAGCTAAAGCAACAAGTGTTAAGTAAAAGCCAACCAAAACAGGTGGAAACCTGACCTTAAGACAAAAACAGGTGGAAACTGACCTTAAGAGATTATTTGAGTTAAAAAGTCTTTTAAATGTTTTTTTATTTATTTATTTATTAAAAAGTAGACATTTAAAATTTTTTATTTTTGAATATAAATCTTTTTTTTTAATACCAGTTGACCAGATGGTTTCCATAGTTGCATCTTTTTTAATGCCAGTTGGACAGATGGTTTCCATAGTTGCATCTTTTTTAATGCCTGTTCCTGTAAACTCAATAAGTTTAAACAGGACTAACAAAATTGTAATTTTTTTAAACAAAACCGATTAGCAGTAATCATAAAGTGATATCATAATGATAATAAAATAAGAAAATCATTCACAAAACCTAATAGCATAAAATGATATCATAGTGAGCATAAAGTTCAGGAATCATTTTGAAAAATAAAAAAGCATGAGTATATAAAGGGTAAGGTGTTGTACCTTGAATACCTTGTATTGTATAAATGTACCTTTAAACATTTTCAAAAAATCTGCTTTCTGGTTTGTGTTTAAGAAAATGAAATATACGGTTTAAAGAATTTACTACTTGGAGGCGTGCATATTGTAGTTTCTATTATAAGAAATGGTTTGTTTTGAAGTTATTTGATGTGTTTTATTTTTTGTGAAAGAAAAAAAAATTTTTTTTTACTAAAATACCGAGTATTTTATTATTTACTAAAATACCGAGTATTACTGTGCTAAAAGTATAAAATTTTATGTTTATTCTGATAAAGCGATTATAGAGATATTTCATGAAAACAGAATTATGTGGAAATATTAACAGAAACAGAATATTAGTTGAGCATGTAGGAAGAATGAAATTGTAGGAAGAATGAGATTGCATCATGAAATTAAAAGATTGCTTTATAAACCTTTAATTTGTATATTTCAAGATAGTAATAGTATATCTAGACTTTTATAAACAAAAGATACATTGTTGGGTGCCTTTAAAGGAAAACGGACCAAGTGCCATCTGAATGGTTTTGAGAAAATGGTTTTCTTTCTGTTTATTACAGTATACTGGATACAGCATTTCACTTTTTTTCTTAAACTCTTCCTGCTTATTGACACTATAGTAACTATAGTGTTGTCAATAAGCAGGAAGAGATCAAGAAAAAAAGTGAAATGCTGTATCCAGTATACTGTAATAGACAGAAAAAAAAAACATTTTCTAAAAACCATACAGATGGCGCTTGGTCTTATTCCATTTAAAGGCGTCCAATCATAATAAAAGTAATTGTGCAGTTTGTAGTTAATGTTAACAAAAGTTTTATTTTTATTTGATGACAACATAAAGCTTTCAATACATATTCAGAAAGTGTTTCAAAGTACATAGGTGTACCTTTAAATGATATTTGTTCCTTCACAATATTGTAGCTCTTCAAAAAGGTATACTATTAAGAAGAATGTCAAAAATTTACAATATTTGGGAACTTGTGGCTATTATTTTGTAATGAAATATTTTCGGTTTTTAATTTTAAATGTTATTTTACAAAATATGTGAATAGTATTTAAGGTTCAACACTTTTGCCTGTAAACACACTTATGTTTTTTCATTTTTCAAAATGATTCCCTAATCGATTATTAAAATCAACATAATCGAAAGAAATAGTGAAGTAAAGAAAATGATTAATTTAAGTCATCAGTTGTAAATATTTGTTGTAAAAATTAATTCAAGTCATCATTTGATGACTTGAATTAAATTTATTTGTTTTACATTCTTAAAATATTTATAAATATTTTCTTGACAAGTATTATTTGTTATTTTTTTTTGTTTTTTCTTTTGTTTTTTTTGTTTTTATTTATAACTAAGAACCAGGGCTTTTTTTCCGAGGGTTTTATATATATATATATATATATATATATATTATATATATATATATATATATATATATATATATATATATATATATATATATAGTCTTGCATGGTAGTTGATGAAAGTTTAACCTGGAATGATCATATTAATCATTTAACAATAAAATGAAATAGATCCAATCCAATTCTGTCTAAACTTAGGCATCTTGTTGACAAAATAACATTAATAAATCTCTATATTTATAAGTTCATTCAAGAAACTTCAATTAGTAATTTTTTCAAACTACATAAAAATAGAAAACGGTCTTTTTATTCACAGTTGCATTAATAATAAGAAGCCTTCTATCTTTACAGAATAGTTTACTCCATTAATACATGTTCATACCCAATCTACTAGGATGTCTCAAAGAAGCAGACTGTGTGTTCAAGCTTTTGATACAAAATTTTATAGTAGACATTCCTTTAAAAACTCTGCAATTAGTGACTGGAATTTCTTACTAAGTAAGCTAAATACTCTTCATTTCTGTGAACTAAATAAAAAAAGTCTAAAAGAAAAACTTAAATTCTTTTTCTTAAATTCACTTAGTTAGAGAAAATAGTTTTCCATTATTATTATAGTGATATATTCATATATGTAAAAAAGTTGTATTTTTTTTTTTTTTTTGCAAAAATCTATCGACTTTATATCGCTTGATTGCTAAACGTACAGATGTCCTAAAATCTTCAGTCATGGAATGAAATAAAATAAGTCAAGACTACTCAACGCTTCGAAAGAAAACCTGGAAGTAGAAGAAAAAAAACTTTTCATAAATCTAAAAAGGTAAAATGGATTTTACGTTCAATAGCAAGAAATCCAAACCAGCCACAGCAAGATCTAGCAAAAAAATTCAAGATTTTGCGTTCTTATATCAAAAAGTACTTAAAAATGCTGGAATTAAAGCATTTCATAAGAAAAATACACCTAAGAGAGAAGCTTAAATGATTAAATTAAAGGAATTTGACGCGCAAAGAAGTGGATTAAAATAATCGCGGATAAAAGTATGTGCATAATTAAAGATGACAAAACATATTGCAAGGCGGATTTTTCACAACTTCCTGGTCAACAATTTTATTTTGAGAACAAAGATAAACCTGTTGATGAACAATTTAAATATGTTCGACGAGAAAAAATTGCATTCAAGTTCCTTGTGTGGCAAGCAATTTGTAGCCGTGGTATGCAGTCCTCTTGTTTTGTCACTAAAAAGACCTTGACTGCCAATCTCTACATCAAAGAATGCCTCCAAAAAAGACTTTTACCATTTATGTAAAAAACACAAATACCAGAGTCTCTTTTGGCCAGATCTTGCTGCCTCTCACTATTCTAAAAAAGTTCTATAGTGGTGCAAAGATAATAATGTGAAAATTGTTCCTAAAGATGCGAATCCTCCTAATCGTCCTAAAAAGCGCAAGATTGAAGATTTTTGAGCAATAGTTAAAGGAGTTTTTCATAAGATAGGTGGAGTAACAAATAATAAAAAGGACTTCCAAAAAAAGTAGATTAATGCCACCAATAAGGTGAAAAAAGAAAAAATCTGCAAAATGATGACATCAACCTGCTATAAAATTCGATCTCTTGCCTAACAGCCCAGCTGGCCCCTTAAAATTAAGTTGAAACTCTAGTTTATATAAACACATTTAAAAATATTGAAATAAAAAGCATTTATGGTTTTAGAGAAATCTTAATTTAATTTTTCCAGATTTTTCCGTTTCCACCTGATATATATATATATATATATATATATATATATATATATATATATATATATATATATATATATATTATACTGCTGAGTTCGGTGAGCATGATGATGTCATACTCACCTAATGTCAAATAGCCTGCTGCCGGGGGCAGCAGGCTATTTGACATTTAACCGCAATTGTAAACTAATAGATTTTTTGTTGAAGAAACAATTTGTTTAATAATTTTTTTTTTGTTTTTAAAAATTATTTAAAGAAAATAAAGTGTTTTAAGTTTAAACTTTTCATCATATTTAATTTTAAATATTAGATTTCATAAGTTTATAAACAATCAAATTTAAAAAAAGAAATATTTTCAATTTATTTTATTAAATTTAAATATTTTTTTAATAATTATAGTTTTTAGTAAATAAATTTATCAAATTTAATTAAAATTCTTTCATTTAATTTTAAAATGCTCCGTTTTTTTTATGATAAAATTACCAAAATAAAAAAAGATTTAATAAATTTAATTCAAGTTACTTTAAAATGTTCGTATTACATATAACTTTATTTTAATTTTAGTTAAGTTTCAGGTAAGTTCCAAATACTGGTCTGAAAGATGCGCTTAACAAAAGCGCATTATTTTCCAGTTTTTATTTTTCCATTATTTTACAGTTTCATTCATTATTTACAGAAGCGCATTATTCATTTTATAACTACAAGTTAGTAAATGACGTCAATACTTTTAAACTCGAGTTATAAATGTTATGTTTGGGTTTTCCCTTTGCCGTTTGCTGAAGAATTTTTTTTTATAAAACAAACCCAGGACGTATTAATAATACGTCCTTGAACAAACCAAAATTCAAACCTATTAAAAATAACACGATCAGTAAATAAACTCTTTAAAAGCCCAACTTATCTTTATTTTATTTTAAAAACAAAACTAGTACTTGAGCTCTAAATATAAGATACATTAATTTCAAAATTATAATGATATTTGTTAAAAACAAATTCTGCTTATAACATCTGGAAACCGAAAACACTATTTTTTTTTTTTGGATTGAGAAAAAAAATATTAGGTTTCACTGTACATAAAAATAAAATAGTTTAATGGAAATAAAAAAAACAAAGCCGAAAAAGCAGTAATTTTCGTTTCTTTACAACATTTATTTTATCAAAAGCAGTTAGTACAAACGTTTTTTTTAAAAGGGGAAAACCCAATCTATGCATTTAGTTATAAGTACATTTAAATCCCTTTAAGAAAATCAACCATAAACAAGTGTTAAATTTAAATTATTTAAAAAAAAAACAAAAAAAAAAAAACAACCATAAAACGAATGTTTAAAAGCAAAAAAATTAAGTTTAAATAAGTATAAGATTTTAATACAAGAAGACTTTTTTTTAATCAACATTGAAATTTTTTT